CTCTGCTCACCCCCCCTCCCCCCACCCCCTCCCTTGGCAGCCAGTTCTACCCCGCTTTTCCTCCCAATCTCCCTTGGCCAGCCCCGCTGCCTGCGTCCAGCCCTCCTTCCGGCGGCCGCTTCTCCCCCCCACACATCTTCCCTGGCCAGCTCCCTGCCCCCAACCTCGTGCCCCCCGGCAGCCTTGCTTCCACTGGCCCCTCAATATCCCCAGCCCTCCCCGATTCCCCCATTGAGTGCTGCTCCTGGTGGCCGGATCTCCCCTCCTCCTGGCACCTGCACCTTTCCTTAGCCCTGCACCCTTCTGGTGCCTCTTCCTTCCCTTACTGCCCCTGCCCTCTTTGCCCTCTTTTTCCCTGATACCCACCCCCTCAGCACTCTCTGCCCCATTGCCCTCCTGCCCCTCTGTGCCCTCACACATGCCTTGCTCCATCCCCCCCTTTCTCATGCCCACAGAATGTAAAGTTCTAAAAAAAAAATCAGTTTTGAAAGTGTGAAACAGTTTCAGCAGTTTTCAACTAAAATGAAACATTTGGATTCACCTGACTTAAAATGTTTTGTTTCAAGTTCAAAAGTAAGCTGGTATTTTTTATGGTGCTGCCTCATGGGCATGCATGTTCCCTAATGCACCTACAGTCATATGACTCCCATTATGTACTAGCTACTTAATCACAGGAAGACTACATTGCATCTCGTAAGGTGTGGATCCCCATCTTTAATTTTCTTCTGGTTTTGAGTACAATCAGCATTGGTACCTTCCCATGTTAATGTCTTTTCTCAACTCTTAACTCTCCTTCCATGGTCAGAACTTGAGTAATATAATTTGGGGATGACTGTCAGTCTCTGCTGAGCTGGGGTTGGATATTCTATTCGAATTTGCACACCATGCTGTTTCCCTAAGATCAGAACAGCCACTTCCCAAATGAACATGCACTGAACTATTGTAGCATGTGACTCTATTCAACAGATCAGCCCACCTAAGCCCAGCAGATCACCTTTAAACCATTTGAGTGGCTTTGATGCCCACATCACCCAAGAAAAGACCTATCT